CTCCACCCATCCGGCCCGCCGCACGTCCGAATGTCTCCCGAGGGTCCACCCGACCGGCCCGCCACGCTACCGCCCCACTCCGACGGGCGACAGCGGGCGCGGCCTGTTCGTTGGGCCGGAGGGTTCCCGCCGCGACCTGCTCCGTGAACCGGCGCGCCGCCCGTCGCAAACACGCCGCCCCTCCCGGCCTCCCCAAACCGTCGCGCCCTCCTGGAAAGTACCGGGTCTCGCGTGTGGGACCCTGCCGCCGCGGGCGGTGTCTCGCCTGGGCCCGTCACGCGAGACCCGCCTTTTCCTTTAGGGTATATTAGAGATTAGAGAAGAGATAGAGATAGGGATTTGCTGCTTGGCCATCTTGTATTCGGCAACTTGTTATACATTCCCCTTTAGCATGGTGCAATTCTCCCTTTACTTTAGATGAATGAACATGTCTGATTCAGCATGGTGCAATTTTCCCTTTACCATTTTTTTTTTTTTCTGAACATAAAGAAGAAAAGGGTGAACCACGATTTCGTCTGATTCAACATGGTGCATTTTTCCCTTTTCCTTAGGAGAATGAACATGTATCATTCAGCATGGTGCAATTATCCCTTTCCCTTAGGAGAATGAACATAACGAAACGGGTAACAGCAAATTTGTTTGCTTCAGCATGGTGCAATTTTCCATTTACCTTAGGAGAATAAACATGAAGAAAGCGGTGAACAGCAACTTCGTCTGATTTAGCATGGTGAATGAGAGGAAGTCCAGGTTTTGGTATGCTATCTGGATCAAATAATTCTGGAGGGCGTAAATCGCAGCAGGCAACGCAGAACAAGTCAAGCTGTCCCTCAGCGTCCATTGCCGCACCAGCTCCATCACTTTTCCCTGGAACGAGACCACTACAACTGCACACAAAATCTGCATCCCACCGCGCAGAATTACGTTCACCCACCAGCCAATCCGAAGACAAGATAAGAAGACCATGTCAATGATGTCACTGATGAGCAAATGCAGGTCATTGCTGACACGACTACACTCTCGTCCTTGGAGTCAGATTGACTAAATACAGCGTATCAGCAAGGCAATTATGGCATACAAACGCTAGGGTTTCTTTGACTGATCTCTGGGGGTATTTAGAGTCAGATAAAAATTGGACAGGTCGTAATCTCAGGTTACATACATCTGTGTGTGCTCTTCGGCATACATAACGAACTTCCAAACTGCTTAAAAGACGCATCCCATGGGTCCCTCTCTATGAGTCATAGCAATCGACAGAGCAAGTGAAAATCACAGCACGGTACCTCTTTTTTTCAGGTTTTGCTATTCTGAGAACTTAGTCAAATTTGCAACATAGGCACCTGCTGTCCTGGCAATCTGGTTCCCTTCCGAGAACTTAGTCAAATTTACAATATGGATTCTATACAAAAGGCAAAAACGGAAAAAAATAACAAAAGCCACCTGCTGTCCTGGCGATCTGGTTTTCCTTTAGTGTGGAAAAATCTCATGCATGAGGTCACCGGGGGAAAAAAAAAGATCAAGAACAAAAGGAGATCCAACAAAAAAATCAGCCAGTCGCAGAGATCACACTCAGGACGAATTCAACAAGCCATCAATGATATGGTCACCCACAGTGAGCTCTTATAATCTGTATAACACCAAACAGATTCAATACCACCATCTTCATTATTCTTAGGGCATACTCACACTATACCAGCGAGCTGTACATTGCTAGGGTTTTATCTTTTAATTCTCTCGGTTTTTAGGCCCTGCCCTGTAACCGGCATCAGTCTAGCCCCTACGGGAACACTTTTGGAAACGTCGGGATTTCTAGGCCCAACAGATTTTCCTTTCAGCTTGACCGGTACCGTTGCTGATCTGGGCAGGCCCGCTGTGTTTCATAGGTCCTCGGTCGACAGGGAGTCAAAGCAGAAATAGCCTAGGGTAAAGGTCGACAGGGAATCAAAGTAGAAAGAGCTTGGGGTAGACTTAGTTCGGGTTCTTTTCTTTCCATTTTTCAGGCGAAGTGCTGCCGCTCGGGGAGATGAGCAGGCCCGCTGTGTTTCATAGATCCTAGGCCGACTGTGTTTCATAGGTCCTAGGCCGACAGGGAGTCGAAGTAGAAATAGCTTAAGGGTAGACTTAGTTCGCGTTCTTGTCTTTCGATTTTCAGGCAAAGTGATGCCACTTGGGGAAATGAGCACTGCTGTGATGTGGGTTGACGCTGCTCTTTTCTTCCTCGTGCAGAAACGGCCATAGCTGGAGGCCAGGAGGCCATCTGGGGAGCAGCGCTGGAGTAGTTCTTCAGGCGATGTGAGCGCCTCGAGCGCCTCAACGTATCTGTGATGTTTTGGGTTTTGATGCTGCCGTTGACTTCGTCACAGCCATATCTGTCTTGTCCATCGTGTGGTTGGAGGCTTGTTCGTCATTCAGGGAGACTTGCGCTGCACTACCGTGCGGGCGCTGTTCAGGCACTGAAAGTTTGTTGGGCGCTGATCAGATTAGCTCCGGGGTGATGGTGTCGAGTGTCTGCAGCTTTGGCAGCGATGGCCAGGGTTGAAGAGGTGGCGAGGAGGAAGGAAAAGACTCCTGTTCATTCGTTGCATTTTCGTTTGGGGATTGTTAGAGGGTGTTCAAACGTGGTTGTGATTCCTGGATTTTTGGTGCTGCTGATTGATTTGGGGGAGAGACGGTAATAAGAAGAATTGAATTTAATTCAATTCTATTATGGGATTTGAGCTTCCTCCGTGTACATCTCATCCATTGGTGTGGTGTGGATTTTCTCTCTCCAAGTCTGCTCTACAATTGCATGCATGCACAGGAAAGTGTGAATTGAGTGTGGATTTCTTCTCACAGTAGGCCATCATAATGGCAGAATCACAAAATCAGCGGCCGGATCGGTCCTTCTAAAAGGAGGACTCGATTCGGCCGCTGAATTGCGATTCTGTGGTTTTAAGGGCCTATAAGACTGTGTGTGCTCATAGTATAAGCCTGAAGGCAGCAGCTATCCTGATTACCTGGTTTGGGTTTGTGTCACGAAAGCTCGTATCGGAGGTCGCAAGAGCATCGAAGAACAAAAGGAGATCAAACAGGACTGGGGGAAAACACAGATCAACAAGCCAGCCACAATATGAGCCCCCACACTGACCTGTGAGCATCTTCATTACCCCACACCGAACAGACACGTTTCAGGATTCAATCCCGTCTCAGAGTGTATGAGCATTTAAGCCCGAAAGGAAAGGAGATCAAACAAATCAACCACTCGTCAAGCAAAAACTCAAATATTGCAATTTCAGACAGGGTTTGCAGGACTGGGTAAAAACACAAGTCAACAAGCCAGCCACAGTGAGTGTGAGCACCCACGGTGACCTGTGAGCATCTCTATTACCCCACACCGAACAGACACGTTTCAAGATTCAATCCTCTCTCAGAGTGTGTGAGGATTTCAGCCCGAAAGGTAAGGAGATCTGCAGGATTGGGACAAAAAAGATCACTTTGCATAACTTGCAAGAAGAACAAAGTTCTTTCACCCACAGAACCGAACCTTCCATCCAACATAGCAACATTTCAGCAAGCAAGCGTTCAGAGTGCCACACCTTCACGACCTCGCAGCTGAGCACCATGCTTGTCGTGATAACTCGCTTACTGCGTCCAGCAAAAGCCAACCATATCCACAGACACAGAGCACAGCGAAACCCATCAACGACTAATTGAATTAGTAAACCACCACTCATTAGGAAGCTGAACCCCTCTACAGTCTGCAGAGTCCCCTAACCAATAATGGCTGATACTGTAAGTCATAATCCACCTTAACCCCACTTGCGGTTAAGCATCACCGACTGCCCGACAAATTGGGTAATGGGGCAAGCCGGACCTTTTGGCACGATGTGACGATATATATAACTCCGACGAAACAGTTTGTCACAGCCCCTCGTTTCTTGTCCTCTTCTCCCTCTCTGCCTACGGTTTATCGGGCAGCTCTCTGTATATCGTCAAACAGAGCTGCCGGCTAAACAGTAGGCAGAGAGGGAGAAGAGGACAAGAAAAGAGGGGCTGTGACAAACTGTTTCGTCGGAGTTTAACCAACTCATCAGGAGGCTGAACCCTCAAAAGTCTGCAGAATCCCCTAACTGATTACACTAAGTGATAATCCACCTTAACCCCGCTTTAAGCATCAACCACTGCCCGACAACTGACACCCTCCTGAGGTGGTGGGGACCACCAACCACTGCCCTCAAGGTACCTGCGACGAAAATCAAAGCAGACTATCACTCACCCGCACCAGATGGAAAACTCTACACACTGTCGGTTCACACCCCGTCACAAGCCAGCAAAACACCCACGAAACAAAGAAACGTCTGTCACAGCCAAAAAATAAACTCCAGACACGCCGCTGGCACTAGAGGCACAGCATGACCGCGTACTGATGGCCCTGACCACTGCCGCTCGACGAATTGGGTAATGGGGCAAGCCGAACCTTTTGCGCAATGTCTACATACACACGGGGGTGGGGGCAGCCGCCGCTCAACCTACATCCACGTGGGCGGCCTTGTACGCAAGAGGTTCTGAACAGGGGGAGTTGTAAGAAAGAAGATAAAAAAACGAATTCTTTTTTTCTTGTTTTCTTCTCTTTTTTTCGCCTTTGCGCTCTGATATGCATGTGACGATTTATATACAGCTCTGAGCTCTGCAATTCACCTTCACCAACCACCGTCCTCTGTAACGAAAATCAAAGCAGACTATCACTCACTCTCATCAGAGGGAACCGTAGGCAGAGAGGGAGAAGAGGACAACTAATGAGGGGCTGTGACAAACTGTTTCGTCGGAGTATCAAAGCAGACTATCACTCACCCTCAT